TGAGTTCACTTGCATTTCGAGCGAGAGTATGTGCTGAAGGGATTCCAAAGTCGATCCAATGCCGAGCAAATTTTCACCGGAATCGAAGAAGATTTCCACCAAGAATGTTCTGGTAGGGCCAATCGGCAGCTGGCCGATCTTCTGGTAAGATCGAAATGGAGCTCAACAGTTGGCAAGTGTCGAAGAGATGCTTGTAAAGGTATCCGCTGGTGGAGATTGTGGACACTCGTTCGTATAATGGACACCCTTTGAGTGAGGAAGAATAGCATCTCCTCAGATGAAGGCACCACTTCCCGCGTCAGTATATTTTATACTTTATTCATGATGGTCCTGATTTAATCGCAGCCTACTTATTCGTGTTCAAGTAGTATCGATGATTATGACGGCTAACATAAGTTTGACCTATTGGCACCCGTGCCAACCGCAAATGCGAGTTGGGATGTACTTGGCTCGTACTGAAAGTGTGTATCAGAGAGGTACCGTTCTGTCCAACCCAGTCTTAAGTCTCGATTCCCGGCGAGTTCGAGTAAAATGTATTTATTATTATGTTTCGAATGCCTTTCATTCTTCTACTCCTCTCGACCCAACGACCTGACCAGTTTGTTTAGCCTTGGTCGAGCAACCAAGCTGGGGGCTATGCAGGCGTTGGCCATCCCGAAGATGGTACGTCTCGCAGGGCCTCGAAGTGTCCACGACCTGTCGCTTGATGGGCCGTTAATGGCCAGCCAGAGGGTTGCTGAACCCCATCCTCAATCGGCAAGACGGTGGCTGACAAGAGACGGAGGAGGAAATCCGCTTTCAAGTGGCCATATTCACAATGCTGCCCGAGATTAATGTGCCCAATTTGTTGTGATCCCCCACTGACTTGTTACGGCCTCCTGCAGCCTCGGGATGCGGCAGACCCGCATGGACAGTGGAAAAGGGGTCAAAACGCAAAGCAGGGCCCTTGCTGATTGGACGAAGGGCAAGTACATGCATGCCGTTGTGTGTGTGTGTGTGTGTGTGTGTGTGAGGGATCAGCTGAGATTGTGGGGAGTCGTATCTGGTGCCGGGACGTTGTGCTGGCTGTATCGCAAACTTGACAACATATGGCGATAATGTGAAATTGGGCCGTGATTACGTCCACGACTGTGAGGTTGTGTAAAGATGGAGCCCCGCGAGCAGAAACAGTGACAAATAGGTGGCATCCCGAAGGTGGGAGAAGGGGGGGGGACTGAAGAAGGGTGGGGCAGAAGTGGAAGGTGTGAATCCGAGTACCTTTAGATTGTTGTGAGAGTTGCGAAATTCTCCACTCGAGCATAAAACCGGGAGGGCATTGACCCAGGTCAGCTGTTCTTCACATTCACCAACTAGAATGAAAAGATCTGGGCCAAAAACACACAACGCCTCTGTCTCTCTCTCTCACTGGCAGACAAATAGACAGGCGTTCATTGTTTAATGACAGCAAAATAGTCAGATGAGGAGTACAAGAATATGGCTTTCCGCAAACATACCACCTTAGGTGGATAGACAGACGATCGAGCTTATGGATGGACAGATTGACAGAAAATATTTACGGACAAACTAGCCTAGCCAGAAGACTGGTTAACTAGGCATATATACATGTGCACACATATGCACATACATGAAAGCTGCATTCCAACACACATACTTATTAACATTATAGCCAAAAAATATCTATGCAGGAATGCACACGCAGTTAACTGACTACCTATCTATATGCATGTACCAATACATAACCTATGCACAAGTTTTCACTTAGATATATACATACATACATACATACATACATACATACATACATACATACATACATACATACATACATACATAAATATCAACATACATACATACATACATACATACATACATACATACATACATACATACATACATACATACATACATTAGTGCTTTTTCCATGATTACATATACTATTAAACTACTCAGATGCATGAATACACTATTTCATATTCACTTAATCCCGTATAGAGGAATGAATGTAGGCATTTTTAATTATATACTTATTTTAACCGAACAAATATAAATAAGTTCAACTCGCACATGCTTTCATACCAAGATAGATGAAAGTAATGAAAATGTTTTAAAGCACGTTGCAAAGCAAAAATCAAAATGTGTGTCTCACTATGTTTAACGGTATCAATCGTAAATAGTATCGGTTGAAAATCGAATACAACTTTCACTCGGTAGAAGTAGTGCAGGAGGTACCAAGTGCAACTAAGCAATTCTGGTTTCCTGGTAAGAAGAATTGACGGTACATTCAGTGATCTTTCCATTCCTTTCTGGTACTCTCCAGAGGAACTGGACGAAAACTAGCTGGACGACTCATCTGCGGCCAGTCGCGCCACCAGACCGCATTTGGACTGGCGTGAAGAGTACCGAGTCGAACAGAGGAGGATCGTCGACTCGGCCAAGCCGAGAAAGCAGCAGCTGATTTGGCGGGAAAACGACAAGAACTTGAGGACTGGCTGTCTTCATCTTCTTCTCATCTTCAATCGCTGTAGATTTGCTGTAACGCCTTTTTCGCAACTTGGTTTGAGTGTCAGAGTGTATCCAATTCTGTTAAATCTGCCTTTGTTGTCATGATGATTTCTAGCACGGGACACATTATTTCCTACATTTGCTGATTGTCAGCCTGCATCGAAATGCTTGAGATGCACCGACCCTTTTGCAAAGCGATTTACTGCCTAAAGGAGACTGCAGTCGAACCTAAAGACACACCAGAAGGGCTTTCATGTCTGTGAATGTTGTTTGCCCTATTTCGTTTTGTGCATATTTGCTGCTCCTGGTCCCACCTTTGTGCCACCCTGCAAGAGAATACATTTGGCAGACAAGACAAAGTATCATTCACTGGCAACTTGGGGCGAAACTCAGCTGCCCAAGGTGATCTTAAATAATTGAAGTATCAAGCAAGATCTTAACTTCTGTAGACGGGATATGGAAGCGCTGGTGAATGTGACAGCAATTCATAAAATCCCCTTTGTTTTGAGAGTATTCAAGTCACTCTAGGCACAAAAGATTACGAAAGAGTAATAGTTGGTTTTACCATCTTATGCAACCTAGAATGAATAGAACGCTCTATTCATGATTTATCCACAGTTTAGAAACGTAAATTATGTGAATATAATTAGCGCATTGTTGGGGAGAATTACATTTCATATAAAAGTGCATGAAGAACAGATTTCAAGGTCGAGCTCATCAACAGAGGACGGCTGATTTCCATTCTACTGCAATCGTTTGACTTTAATGTGATCTTCAGGCTGACCCAGTTCACAACACCTCCGTTGTTTAGGGTGAAAAACTGGATG